GATCGTAACCAATAGAAGACTGGCTGACTGGTTGAGCCAGACGTGGATTGCACATTTGACACCCAGAGCTGCAGAGAAATGGTGGTGGGAGGTGAAAGGAGAGAGCCAGCAAGGTCTTCGGACCTGCTACCAGCCCGCGAGTACCCTGGCTGAGGAGCGGGTGATAAAGGCACCCACAAAAACAGTGCAGGGTTGTTGTTGTTGTGTTGTTGTTGTTTTAAAAAACCCTATTATCAGAATTAATGGTGCAAATATCACTGGCACGACCATATTTTGCATGTTTGATTAACTGGTAATGGTCAGCGATGATTGGTTGCTGTATCCTCTCCCTGCCCACCTGTTGCACCTGTTGACCCACCTGTTGCACCTGTTGACCCACCTGTTGCACCTGTTGACCCACCTGTTGCACCTGTTGACCCACCTGTTGCACCTGTTGACCCACCTGTTGCACCTGTTGACCCACCTGTTGCACCTGTTGACCGTTGACCAGTTCTCTATGTCAGGGGTGGCCAAACTGTGGCTCGGGAGCCAAAGTGTACGCGCCCCGGGGGAGCGTGGGGGGGGGGGGGGGGGGAGAAAGAAAGCAACTTTTAACTTTCAATGCATTCTCAAAGCCTCCCGTATAGCCTACAAAGATAATTGGATAAATAAATATCAATATCAACGTCTGTTTTTACCCCTTTTTGTTTTTATTTTTGGCAGTGTCATTTATAATATGAATAAAAAGCAAATTTGCATATTTCTCAATTAAAAACTCGTGTGTGATATTTGTTCACGTCCTGCGGCTCTCAGACATCTGACGTTTATCCTCCGTGGCTCTTAACATGAAGCAAGTTTGGCCGCCCCCGATTTAAAAGAGGGCATCCTGTTCAAGAGATTCAAGTGTTGTTGTTCAAGTGTTGAAGAGCTGCTGTTAGAATTACGCGTGACCTCACTTCCCTGAAAATTTGCGGCAGGCTCCGCCTTTTGGGGCAGCCATTTTGTGGCTCTGCCCATCGTCCAGTGTCAGAATTCCAAAGGTGCCCGCAGGCTCCAAAAAGGTTGGGGACCCCTGGTGTATGTAATAGCTGAAGACAGGGTTGCCATCGCTGGGTTGGGAAATCTCTAGAGTTGGGGTGGGGCTTGATCTGGGGGAGGGGGGGACTTGGGGAGGAGCCAGGGGTCTTGTTGTAGAAAAAGAGCTGCCGGAGCTCATTAGCATAACTCATTAGCATAACTTATTTGCATATGCCACGCCCCCTGACATCACCGGGAGTGACAGAAGGCCACACTCCCTGACATCACCGGAAGTGTGTCAGAAGGCCCGGCTACTTACCCTCCTGCTTCATCCTCATTCCCAAACGGAATGAGGATCGAAGCAGAGGGCGGGGTAAAGAAGGGGGCGGGGCTTCACCACGTGACCGCCCCGCCCCCTAGAGGTTCTCTTCCGGAGCTCCGTACCTGAGAGCTCCCCCCCGACTAGAGCCCTGGGAGGAGCGGGAGCTCAGTGGGTTGTAATGCCATAGGCTCCACCCTCCAAAGCAGCCATTTTCTCCAGTGGAACTGATGAAGAAGAAGAAGAAGAAGAAGAGATTGGATTTATACCCCGCCCTTCTCAGAGCGGCTTACAAACGCCTTTCCCTTCACCTCCCCCCAACAGGCACCCTGTGAGGTAGGTGGGGCTGAGAGAGCTCTGACAGAAACTGCTCTTTTTTCAAGAACAGCTCTTATCAGAACGATGGCTTGTCCAAGGTCATCCAGCCAGGTGCAAGTGGAGGAGTGGGGAATCAAACCCGGTTCTCCCAGTCCACGCACTTAACCACTACACCAACCTGGCTCTCTGTTGTTCTGGAGATCAGTGATAATTCCAGTTCTCCAGGGACCACCTGGCAGTTGGCAACACTGGCTGGAAGAGATGAAGCCAGCAAGGTAGACGTAGACCCAACTTGCGCTGCTGATTAGAACTGATGTTTGAGGCATCAAACAGCTGTAAAATGTTGAAACCATGAAGGAAAAAACCCTGTTTTTCCTTCCATCTTTTTTTTTTAAGTTGAAATCTATGCAATACTTTCTTAATTAGACTCGTTTTACTGCTGTAACAACATAACAACACATCCTTTGGATCTTGCGTTAGCATATAAAATTGTACTGACTTGGCATTTTTATGAAACGGAAAAGCCGATATGCCTTAGTTTTTTTGCCTGTAAAATTGCAAATATACCCGGTATTTGAGAGAGAGAGAGAGAGAGAGAGAGAGAGAGAGAGAGAGAGCTGTGAACCGCTGCATTCTTCTCCTATTCTTGCACCTCTGTCTTTGTTTTTGCTGTCTGAGAGACAGAAGGTGCAAACAGGAAACACGAATTCTATAACCCAACAGAAGGGAGTTGTATGATGTTTGGATAGAAAGAGCCTCCTCCTACTGTCCCAGTAAAACTAGCAACCCGTTTTGATACTGCGTTAAACTTTATATCAGTGGAAAACCGTGACCGCTTCAGTAGTGTATTATAATCGTACGCGTAACAGCAAATTAATGAACAAGAACAGTTAATGAACTCCAGTGAGCAGTGACTCACTGGTGCTCCTCCCCTGCCACAAATTTTGTTAGTCTTTCAGGTGCTCCTGGACTCTTGCTCCTTTCTCCTGTCACAGACAGACTAACACGGCGACCCATCTTGATCTAGCAAATTAATGGTGGACAGAATTAGTTTAAACCAGGGGTGTCAAACTCATTTGTTATGAGGGCCGGATATGACATAAATGAGACTTTGTTGGGCCGAGCCACATGTGTCATGAAATGTAACGCCAAGTAGCGGAGATATAAACTTTAGAAAGGGGGTTTTCTTAACTTAAAATGAAAACCTACTTAAAACATTCGCACTCTTGGCAATATTTTGCTTATTTAACAGTGTCTGATAACTGACACCTCTTGCTCTGCATCAAAATGTCTGTGCTGTTGCAAACTTGAGCATGCTGTTCAGATGTGTATCTGTAAGCTGCAATCCTATGATGATGCAGTAGCAGCAGCAGAACTGGAAGAAGAAGAAGAAGAAGAAGTAGTAGTAGTAGTAGTAGTAGTAGTAGTAGTAGTAGTAGTAGTTAGATTTATACCCTGCCCTTCACTACCCAAAGGAGTCTCAGAGCGGCTTACAAACTCCTCTCCCTTCCCCTCCCCACAACAGACACCCTGTGAGGTAGGTGGGGCTGAGAGAGCTCTGATGGAAACGGCTCTTTTTCAAGAACAGCTCTTAACAGAACTACGGCTTGCCCAAGGTCATCCAGCCAGGTGCAAGTGGAGGAGTGGGGAATCAAACCCGGTTCTCCCAGATTAGAGTCCGCGCACTTAACCACGACACTAAACCGGCTCTCAGAAGACAGCCAGTTCCACTGTGGGCCTGATAAAAGCCCTCTGGGGGGCGCCTTGATCCAGCCCCTGGGCTGCATATTTGACACCCCTTATTTAAACACTATATCCCTGAAAATATTATACATGTCTACAGTAGACTTGAGAATTCTCATTCTCTGGTCCTGTCACTAGGGTTTCCAACTTCCAGGTGGGGCCTGGAGATCTCTCAGAATCACAGCTGTTCAGCCTACAGAGCTCAGTTCTCTGGGAGAGGATGGCTGCTTAGGAGGGCAGACTCTGTGCTGTTATACATTGCACCCTCCCCTTTCCAAACACAGCCTCCCCCAGGCTCCACTCCCAAATCTCCAAGTCCCACAGGTGTGTGCGTGTGTACGTCAGTCCTGTTGTGTGTGTGAGCGCAGAAGCTCTTGTGAGAGACAGGCGGAGCCCTGGTGCAAATTAGGGGGCACATGACCTCTAAAATGACACATAGCGCAGCAAGAGCGGACACGGTGACTGTTTCTCCCCTCTTTCACAATACTAGAACCTGGTGTCACCCGCTGGAGCTGAAGGCGTGGGAGATTCGGGACAGACCCAAGGAATTACATCTTCACCTATCACATAGTTGAACTGTGGAACTCACTGCCACAGGGTGTAGTGATGGCTGTCAACTCGGAAGGCTTTCAAAGGGGAGCGGACAAATTAATGGAGGACAGGGCTATCAGTGGCTACTAGCCATGAAGGATATTTACTCTCTCCAGTACCAGAGGCAGTACACCTCTTTGAATTAGTTGCTGGGGAGCGTGGGGTACGGGGTAAGCTGTGGGGTATCCTGCTCGTGGGCTTCCTAAGGCGGCCAGTGTGTGAACAGAATGCTGGACTTGATGGGCCTTTGGTCTGATCCAGCAGAGCTCTACTCAGGTCCTTACGCTTCATTGCCTGCGAGTATGGACAATGCATATTCTGCACATAGCTGTGTAAATAAACGGGATATAACTAAAGGCCTGCAAAGCCCCAGTGCGCCCTTGCTGTCTCTCCCCCCACACTTCCAAAAGGAAGCTAAACCCCTGTAGCACACTGCCTCTGGAACTCTTGGCTGTTGTGGCCAGGGTGGGGAGGGAGCGCTTACCACAAACGTCCCGCGGAGCAGAATGCCCCAGCGGGCAAAGGCACAAGACCACGAAATGCGACAGGTGACCCGAAGGCAGCCGGAAGTCACAGGGTGGTGTTGTGACTTTCTCTTTTTTCCCTTTCCAAAATAGAGAGTTGGGGGAAGGAGAAGTGTGGTGGGGAGGGGACTCTGCGCGGTGTCTCTCCTCTCCGAGCACGCCTCTAATGCGCTTTCCATCAGCTGACGGCCTTCAAAACGTTCCCGTGCTGCTTCTCTCACGGGGTGTAGCAGGCGTTTGCTCTCCCTTCCTCCCCGCCGCTCTTTCTCTTTCGACTTCCCCTTTTTCGTTTTTCGCCAAGAACAGGGAGAGTCCAGTGTGGTCTCTTTCCTTTTAGGGCTTGGAGTGGGGGGGGGGGGAGAAGGAAGTGTTTCTGGTTCTGTGGGAATGCAAGCTGTCTCTCTCTCTTGCTCTGTAAACAGCTGGTGACTCATTGCACAGCTATGGCACCGACAGATTGCACACTCTCCCTGTGAGCGAGCGAGCGCCTGTGCGCATACCTAGCACGCGGAGAAGGGAGGGCGGCCCACTTCCTTTCCTGCCACATTCCACTCTGCTTCCCAGACATTTCTCTCCAAAAAGGTCCGTCGGCCCCGCTGCTCTCCAGCCACCCCGCCTTCATGCCTCGGCTGCCCGTCCAGCCTGCCTTCCGCAGAGGGACCCTTCGGAGCAGCTGCGAGGGAGCTTCGGGGGTGCCCGGCAGGGAGCAAACATGAGGGCGGGCGAGGAGAGCTGCAACGGAATGCCAGAGTGTCTGGGAAGGGCTCTCCACGTACAAGGTAACCGGGGGTCCCAGGCCAAGCGGATACAGTTTGCTGCACACGCATTCTTTCCAGAACCCTGCCCCACCCTTGGCTTGCCGCCCATATCTCCTGTTCTCTTGCAGCTTTCTGCTGCTCCAGTTCCCCAGAAGGAAAAAAAACAACAACACTTCCCTGCTTTCTTACATCTCCGCCTGTTCTCCTACGGAACCCCCCTCCCCGGCAACCCCGTCTTTCTCCCTCCGAAGTTCACCTTTTCCACTAAGTCTTCAGTGCATGGCCCTTTGCCCTAGGCATTTCGTCTTGCAGGCTGCATTTCTTGTCATTCTTCCCTCTTTCAAAGAGCTCAGGTTGTAAATTTGGGGTGGGGGCACGCCGTGAGATACCATGTGTATTGATGGTGTGCTAGAACGGAACCCTGTTGCAGTTTATCCTGGACAGAATGTATATAGAGCAATTTCCTGGACTCTCTTGTCCTTTCTGACTTACAACTTAACTGCATGGGCGGGGGGGGGGGGTTGTTTCGCTTCCCGGGTGTCCGCGAATATTTTTACCAGCCTCCCGAAAGTTCATAGGGGAATAAACGTTCAGTCTTTAAGGTGTTCGTAGGGGAATGAACATTCAGTCTTTAAGGTGTTCGTAGGGGAATGAACGTTCAGTCTTCAAGGTGCCACTGGACTTCTGTTTCATTTGGAAGCAGACCTTTCTGACACAGGCTGCGTTCCAGCTCTCCTTCTCGTAGCTTTCCCCCATCATATTCCTCTGCTCGGGTTCTCACTGAAACAAGCAGAGCGAGTCAAGTGCAGGATCCCATCTGAGGCCGAACAGCGGTTCGGGAGTCGCTCTGAACTTTCAAAACATGAAAAGTTTAAAAAAGGAAAATAAAAAAAAGGTGGCCAGAGTTTGTCGCGGAGAGAGGAGGAAGTTGGGCTGAATTTAAATTTTAAAAACAGGTGCATTGGGGTTAGGCGTACTTAAAGGAATCTTCCCTCTTTAATTCCAAACATGCAGGGAGCCACTGAGGGAGAGGTGCTCTGCACCTGCTCAGAGGCACCATTCTGTATTGTAACATTCCATATTTGTGTCTTTAAAGAAGTGGCAAGGCCATAAATGGATGGGATGGACAGGGTTTTAACAGGTGTGTCTTGATCTGGATAACCCCCCCCACCCTCACTGCTCACGCCATGCCGCAAGTCAAGTGAGAAAAGCAGCTGGAGCTGAGACAGACATTCCCCCCCCCTACAGTTTTTGCACCCACGGCTCTCTTTCAGCACCCTCTCTGTGCCCCCCTTCCCCTGGGACAGCATCCCTGAAATGAATGAGTTTGTTTACCCTCCGTCCTCCGTCCCTGTCTTTTGCACAGAGAATGACCCCCTCAAGACATCCTTTGCTTTTGGGCTTCTCTTGTTTCCATGGCTACCGTCTGGGGTTGGCTACTTTCCCAAGGTCACCATGGCAACTATCGGGAAGGAATCATGCTTGGGATGCTTTGCTTCGTTTTTTTCCCCTCTCTCTCCCCCCCGTTCCCCCCCCCCATTTTTTCATGAATGATTAGAATGTGTGACATGGTGTAGACAAGTTCTTTTCCGAACGGGGTGGGGGCCGAAGAAGGCGGAAAGCGGGGCTCCGTCCAGACGGTCTCCCCCTTCCCATCCACCCCGGTCCCCCGTGCACTGCTTTCTCTCCCCCCCACCAACAACTGCCCTTCGTGTGCCAGCCCCGGCTGGTGTGGCTCCGGGTGCCGCTGTGATGTCACCGCTGCATTGCCCTCTTCTCTGGAGGTAGGTAGGCACGCTGGCGCGACGGCGGCAGGCACTCCGGCGGTGTCACCCGCGATGCAGGTGGAAAGGCTGTGGCGCGAGGTCTAGACAGGCAGACCGTCTCTTCTGCACCGATTAGGAAGGGAAGGGGGATTGTAGTTTCCGCCAGCGTGCCCGAGGCAAGAGCGAAAGGGGGCCTGTCTCGGTCAGTGAAAAAAAAGGGAGGGGGAAAATAAAAGGTTTTTTTCCTGTGGCCGTGGGGCCCCACCCTCTGCACGCCTGGGAAAAGCAGCGAAGCCCTTTCCACAGCCTTAGGGGGTGAGCAAACCGTGCCCAGAGAGAGAGAGAGACCGTTCTCCATGTGTGTATAATAACGTATGTGGTGTTGTCTCCTGCAACCTGTTCGTCGTTGTTTTGGTTGTCTTGTGGGTCTTTTTTCTGTGCTTGCGTCTGTGGCCGTCTCCTTTAAAAGGAATTGTTGCTTTTCAGTGGGGGGGGGGCAGGGATGCACAGGTGGGGGGGGACAGAGAGAGGTGGTTCAGTGGGCGCTCGATGGTTCCGATTCTCCGCAGGATCAGTCGTGAAGAAGAGGGGGGTGACCGTCGAGGGCCCATTCTAGAGGTCTAGAATGAAAAGTTCTCCGTCGGTTTGTTTGTAAAGGACGCCCTGTCTCCGATTCTGCGACAGGGGGAGATCCTGTTTTCTGTCGCCAGAATAAGTCAGTGCAAAAAAAAAATATCCCACTTTTGCGGGCTTCTAACAAAACAAGTAGCTACTTGTAAAAGCAGTTTTTAGTCGCTGTTAACTTGGGATACAGATCGGGAAAGGAAGGTCAGGGGTTCTCCTGGTTTTTGTTTTTAATCGAACGTTCTGGACAAACGGAGCCCAGCCGGGCAGGCACAAAGAGACAGGGAGCTGTCCTTGGTTCAGAAATCCCACTTCTTAACCTAGGTTTTTTTTTGGGGGGGGGCTGAGGGGCGGGGGGGGCAGATTACTATCAAGTAATCTTTAAGGCCAAGGGAGAAACATTCTGTTTATGGTTGCTAGCAAGATTTATCTTTGTGGCCTCGATTCCTTGTACTCTTCCAATCTTATTTAACTATCACTGTGTTTACCCATTCATACCCTGCTTTTCTTTCCCCATGGGGGGAACTGAGAGCCGCTTACAGCATCCTTCACCCCTTTCTCCATGTCACCCTTGCCACCAGCATCCCTGCAAGGTAGGTCTGAGCCTAGACAGAGGGCCCAAGCCAAGGTCACACAGCGAGTTTCCGTAGCTGAGTGGGGATTCTTTTTTTTAAAAATCTATAGTTTATTAAATTTTTCCAATACTGTTACAACAGTGTTCGGCAATAAATAGTGATACAAAAACTATTTCAACACTAGATAACATTCAATGAGGGTAGGAAAAAAGATCACAGGTTTTCATTAGGTCAGATAACTAAAATCAAGAAGTTCAATACAAACAGGAAATTATGTTAACTTTAAAACTATTTTGGATTGTAATATAATCAAATACAGCACAACGCAATCAAAAGGACAGTAAATTTCTATAGGCCGGGTTGTTTGGAATTGTTTCGCTATTTTCTAAATAATTGATCATAGGAAACCATCCTCCCTGGAACCACTTTTGAGTGGGGATTCGAACCTGGGTCTCCCATATATTGGTCCACTGCGTGTGGCTGATTCAGCAGGATTGCGGGGGGGGGGGGAGAGGGGGGAAGGATCTCCCCAAAGCCAGTAGGGGTGTTCATAGGAACACCTGCACAGAAATGGGCATCTGGATGCCAACCGCTGCACATCCTTACCTGCCCGTCTCTGCCCCAATTTCTTACTAAATGTGCCTTGAGCTGGTGGCGCACTGGGTTCTCTGGTGCCTTCTGGCTTGTGTCTTCTGCTGCTTGTTGCAACGGTGGGCTTCCCTTCCCCGGCGCACATTTTTCAGGAGCCCCAGCGGAGCCTGGAATTCTTTTCCAGGCCGGCCACCGAAAAGCATCATCCTCGAGTGTCCTCCGTGTTTCGGGCTTTGGGAGAAGAGCCCCTGCTTCGCGCGTTATTAAAACAAACAAAAACAGGGCATATCCTTGGCAGCTCTATGTAAAAAGCTGAACAAAACCAGGGCTGGAGAAGGCCTTGAACCATGGAAGAGCCAGTGTCCGTCGGAGCAGACGAGACACGGCTAGAGGGCATTCCGTGACAGTAAAATTCGTATAAGGCAGCTCGACAGGTTCCTTTCCGCGTATTTTCGGGTTTCTCTACGCCTTTGTGCCGTGCCAGTTCACACAAACACGTGAACCTGCCTTCTGCTGAATCAAACCCCTGGTCCATCTTCAGTATTGTCTGCTCAGATTTTTTAACTGGAGACGCCGGGGATTGAATCTGGGACCTTCTGCGTGCCAGGCAGGTGCTCCGCCACTCAGTCACAGCTTGTTCCCAAGATTTCTTGGCATTCTGCCGGAGCTGTCAGAATCATATTCTTTCCAAGCTGCTTACAGCGAGGCAACTTTTCGGTATGAAGAAACACCTGCGGATTCACCCGGAGAGCTTCCTTAGAGACCTTCCCCGCCCCGATCCCATTTTAGAACTGTTTGAACAGGTCTCACCAAATGCGTGTGGAGTCCCCAAAACGTGTGCCACAATGGTGGTTTGTTAATGGGGGGGGTAATGCTCCCCCCCCCACTCACAGAAATCTTTTAACACAAGGGCACTACAGTGCCTTCCCTAAGAGTGCCTCTTGTTGCTTTGATTCCTACTGTGGGGAAGAAGTTATTTTTCAAGAAGGCATAGCAGTGATGGTCACTGAAGCTCATATTCTCAAACTGCGGGGTGGTGAGTGTGAAATACTTAGTGGCGAGATGGGGGTCAGTGGAAAGACTACAGAGTTCCAAGGGGGTTGGCCCTTCTTGACTGTACCCTGATTGGGCCGTAACCCAATACGTCAAGTGGTGCTTCCATACCTCTGTGAAGGTATCATCTCTTTGCATCCCACCCTTCTGGGGACGGGCCGTGGCTCTGCGGTAAAGCTTCTGCTTGGCATGTAGAAGGTCCCAGGTTCATTCCCTGGCATCTCCAGTTAAAAAAGACCAGGCAGTAAGTGATGGGAAAGAACTCCGCCCGAGACCCTGGAGAGCTGTAAAGAGGGGCTGTGGCTCAGTGGAAGAGCCTCTGCTTGGCATGCAGGAGGCCCCAGGTTCAATCCCTGGCATCTCCAGGTGAAGAGGACCAGGCAGTAGGTGATGTGAAAGACCTCTGCCTGAG